TAAAAAAAATAAATAAAATTATAACAAAAATCAATAAATCAATAAAATAAAAGTTGGAAACGTTTGGGATTGCTTTATATAATATTGACCTCAGCACGTGAGCCGCGAGGGGGTAAGAGGATAATACCTGCGTATGAGTCCCGTCCAGAGTGATGACCGCAGAGGTTTGACCAACACCAGCCTTGATGGGCGGCGTCGTGAAGGAGTCCAGGACGTGGTAGTGTCCCTGGGCAGTCTCTCTGTGCAGGTAGGTCGGGTCTCCTTCCTCCACCATCTTCTGCACAGCGTACGTCACGTTCTCGCCCTCTCTCCACAGCGTGTAGCTGGAGCTGTGGGTCCGGCCTGAGGACGGATACACCATGGCGTGTTCACTGGTCGTAAATGTTTTACAGTTGATGTCGAAAGACAGTCGAAGCGGCTCTAACAGTCACCCGTATAAGAAAATCACATGTACATGAGCAGGGAAGGAGGTAAAAGGAGACAATTTTAGAGAAGAAAAATTGTCCAATGCTACCCGGATTCGAACCCAGGACCTTTGAATGAGAATCAAACACCTTACCCTCTAGGCCACGAGAGCCCCCGTGTTTTTCCTTCTAAGATTCAAACTCTCGTATTATTAGAATACATATATAAGATGAAAAGCTATAACCATTATAGTAAAACAGACGTCAGTAGTGATGGTTTGGAAATACATGTATGTACACTAATGTACACGTATTCTGTTGAACACGATGCCGATATGAGACAGTCATAAATGATGAGTATCTGTTCTGTATGCCATTTCAAATCTGATGCTTCCGCCTACTGAACCGACCCTAATTGGATTCAACTTCTTTGTCTTCCTTGACAGCCAGGGCTAACCCGAGCTGAGTAGAACACAATGTCAAAGTAGAAAGACCGAGTCACTGGACAAAGATTCTTCCCATACGAGAATCGAACTCAGGTCTTCTGAGTGCGACAGCAAAGCGCCTTACCGAGCCACAGACACCGGTCTACACAGGACTCTCAGCTTACAGAGATCGCAGTTATCAACGAGTAACCATGACTATCCTTTTTTCGTGATCAAAGGGCACGAAGCACGCCTTGTTCGTCTGGAAAAGCACAGATCACGCTAAGCTGTTGCTTCGACCAATATACACGTGTACCAGGGGGAAACAAAGCATAATATTCTTGTCTCCGTAAACGTGGCCACAAGTGGGCAATGTGTAAAGTGACACGTGACGTGAAGAGGCGATACCTGTACAACTGTCACAGAGGGCAACGGAGTTGAAACGTCTCCGATTACGGAAATTCTTTCTGGCAACGTATTGCTTCGTTCGACTCTCCGCACACGGCAGCTAAGTAACGCGCAAATAAAAGACCTACTAGTGTTACATATCACATACAATTTAGTACCGGTATCTTTGCTAACGTTTGGTGGATCTGAATTTCTATGCTTAGTTTATAGTCGGAATTCTTACTACTTTTTGCAGGAATTCATTAAATAAATTTACTTAGCTTACTACAGAAAGCTTCTTACATACGCTTGGACACAGTAACCCCCTTCCCCCCCCCCCTTTCTGCCACCCTCGAGATATCCAACCCCTAGATTGTGGTGATCATCGCTGCTGAAAGTTGTGTGACTTCGCGATCATACTTGCACCATTTTCATTCGGGGTTATGTTGGCATTAATTCAGGGTGTGTGTTTCAGAGCAAAGAAATGTAGTTGAAAACATGCATTTGGAATATTGGATGTCTGTAACCCAATGAGAGGGCCAAGTAGACCTAGAGTATTTTGTAATCCTAGCACCTTTGTCATCATGCGAGTCCAGTTTCAAAGTTTTGCAGCCAGTTTTCTGTTAGCTGTTGACTGGGGAATCCGTGGATATGGGTATTGATGCGTTACATACATTTTAAATTTAAACGGAAGTAGTTTAACCCAACATAGACTCTCCCTTTTACAGAAGAGTCAGCACGATTCCAAGAGTTTCATATTATCACAAAAGAAAGACCAGGTGTAAAATAGAATAGAAGTTGTACAGAATGCGTCTCCAGAATATACTGTTACAAAGAGTCTACATTTACTATCTTTGACTGTTAGCACCGCTTTTCCGATACCGAATTCTAAAAGTAATGAATCTCTCCTTCTTCGCCTTTGTGTGATGCGCAAAAACAAAGCTAACGGGTGCCATCTTCGCCAACACGACTATACTCTTCACGGGAGGTCTACAGGAGAGGGGTAAAAACCTACTTTTTTTTTTATCTCCTTCTTGTCATTGCGCAATGTTTTGTCGTCTGCTACCCTCGTCGCCAAAGAGCACAGCATTTACGGGAAACAAAAATATACCACCAACAAACGAGACGTAAACACGTAAACATTGCGGGTATTGTCCGCGGTTCTAAATGGGAAATATCGCCTGGAGCAAGAGCGGTATTCGTAACTTGGTTTGATCTTGGAAAGAGAGGAATATTAACAAAGCATTTGAAAAAAAAGTGTTCTTGACATAAATCTTTCTCAATATTCTCCATTAGTTTCTTGATATTTCTCGGGTCCTTGTTCGTTGTTGGAAGCTCCGTCCACAGATGTCGCAGGTGAGCAAATTTTAACAATTAGATCTAATATCTGGGCTTTTTTTTCCATATAAAATAAATCTCTAGGACAAAGTTTTTCATTAAAAAAAATAAAAAATTCAACAACATGGTTCAGTCTCTTGCAAATGCATCCCCAACAACCAACAGACCATTTAGTTTTTTCTGATGTCGCGATTGGCACTGATAAACTTGTCTTTTTTCCGTCCCTATGTATTTTAGAACAATAATATGTATATCTTTGCTCCTGCTCTTAAATGCAAGATACGCACTCAACATAGTATTAGACGTACGAAGTCATTGACGCTACCGGCCGGGAAGTTGAAAGGCGGATGTTTTTTAGTATCTCAATGAATGTAGAAATAACAACTACAACAACAACAACAACAACAACAACAACAACAACAACAACAACAACAACAACAACAATGATGATGATGATGATGATGATGATGATGATGATGATGATGATGATGGTGATGGTGATGATGATGATGATGATGATGATGATGATGATGATGATGATGATGATGATGATAATGAATAACATATTTATAGCCCATATTC